TTTATAATATTTAATATCATTAGATCTCCCTCTAATCCAATCATTTTAGATTTATCATGGCTAAAAAAATATAATCCTAAAATAAATTGGACTTCTCGTAGTCTTGACTTTTTTAAAAGTATAATTAAGAGCATAGTTAATCAAGTACAAATTCATAAGTCTATTACAATTAAACTTGTATTTATAGGTGCAAGACCTTTCTTGCATGTTGCAAAAGAAGGATTACCTTGTGACATTTATGCTGCACCTGTTTCTTCTAGTGGAAAGACTTCAAGTAGCATTCTTAGCCAATATCAAGATTTTGAAGATATATTTGAGAAGAAGAATGCGGATACTCTTTCAAATCATTGTTCCTATGACTGCTCAATTAACCTTTAAGAAGGAGCACAACCGCCATTTAGACCAATCTATAGTTTATCACAAAATGAGTTAGCTAAATTCAAGGAGTATATTGAAAAAAATCTGGCCAAGAACTTCATATGCCATTCCAAATCTCCAACAAGAGCTCTATTTTATTTGTGAAGAAAAAAAATAGATCATTGCGGATATGTGTCAATTATCAAGGATTCAACAAAATCACCATTAAGAACAGGTACTTGCTACCTTTGATATATGGACTCCTAGATTAGTTGAATTAAGCTCAGTTCTATACAAAAATAGATCTATAAGGAACATACAATCTAGTATACATGAAAAAAAGAGATAAATAGAAGACTATATTTTGAACAATGTATAGATATTTCAAATACAACGTCATACCTTTTAGACTTACAAATGTACCAGTAGCATTCCAACATCTAATAAATGATATCTTTTAGGAGTTTTTAGATGATTTTATTGTTTGTTACATAAATGACATCTTAATCTATTCTAAGAACACAGAAGAACATGAACTTCATGTTTGTCGTGTGTTACAAAAACTAAGAGATGCGGGAGTCTATGCTAAGATAGAAAAGTGTGTATTTTACACTACTCAAGTCGACTTCTTATGATACATCATTTCAAATGATGGACTTATGATGGATCTTAAGAAAGTTCAAACTATTATTGATTGGAAGATTTCAAAAAACGGTAAGAGATGTCCAATATTTTTTGGGATTTGCCAACTACTATTAGATCTTCATTAAAGACTTCTCTCAAGTTACAACTCTACTTACACATTTGACTTGTAAAGACAAACTTCAATAGAATCAAGAAGCGGAAGTAGTATTTGAAGCTTTAAAGAAAGCTTTTGTTTCTGCACTAATCATGTATTGCGTCGATTTTTCTAAGCCATTTTTTATGGAAACAGACGCATCAAATTTTGCTTTGAGTTCCATATTGTCAAAAATAGGAACAAATGATAAACTTCATCCAATAGCTTTTCATTCCAAAAATTTTCAATTCCTGAGATCAACTACAAGATCCACAACAAAGAACTTCTTGCAATCATGGATTTGTTTCAAGAATGGCACTATTATCTAGAAGGTGCTCTTAGTCCAGTCACCGTATATACGGATCATAAGAACCTTGAATATTTTATATTAGCATGTGTTTTGAATCGTCACCAAGCCCGTTGAAATATGTCTTTGTTAAGATTCAAATTCAAGATCACTTATCAACCAAAAAAACAACAAAGTTTATCAAATGCATTCTCTAGATGATCTTACCTAGCACCAAAAGAAGTAGATGTTGCTTTTGATCAACAATGAATAATTCTCTTAAAGCTAGAGCATCTTCATCTTTAAGCAATGAAATCAATACTAATTATTGATTCAACTTTCATTAAACAAGTTTAGTCAAGTATGTCTTGTGATCTTCTTATTCATGATATTAAGGGAAACCCTTCAAAGTCTCATGATACTTCCAAGTTTGAATTCAAAAACAATCTATTATATTTCAAGGAATGCTTATATATTTCAGAAGATGAAGCTCGATTACATGTTCTTTAAGCATGTCATAACTTTCCAGCACCAGGACATTTTAGTTACAATAAAACTTTGGAACTAATATCTAAGGATTTTTAGTGGCCCCAAATGTAGAAGGCAGTCAAAGATTTTGTACAATCTTGTAATGTTTGTTGAAGATCAAAAACTCCTTATTATAGACCTTAAGGACTTCTTCAGCCATTATCAATTTTAGAACAACCATGGTCTTCTGTTTCTATGGATTTTATCATGGATCTTTCAATCTCAGGTTTTTATAACTCCATATTTGTGATAGTAGATTGTTTTACCAAGATGGTACATTTTGTACCATGTACAAAATCTATCATAAGTGAAGAAAAAACTATGGTCTTTCTTAACAATATCTATCACTATTATGGATTATCCAAGGATATTATATAAAATATGGAAACTCAATTTTTATCAAGATTTTGGTAGACTCTTTTCAAGATTCTAAAAGTGGATATAAAACTATCTTTGATATTCTATCCTCAAACTGATGGACAAATGGAGCGTGTTAATCAAGTTTTGGAGCAGTATTTAAGATGTACTATCAACTACCAATAAGATGATTAGATAACTTTTTGTCATTGGCAGAGTTTGCTTATAATAATATGATACATTCTTCTACAAAAGAAACACTTTTCTTTGCTAATTATGGTTATCATCCACAACTTGATACTTTTGACTTTTCAAAAGTTGATAATCTTGCAGTAAAAGATTTGGCAAATTATTTATTAAAGCTACATGCAACAATATAGGTGCAATTAAAAGAAGCTCAATAACAACAAAAGATCGATGCAAATGTCTATCAAAAGGAACAACCACCATTCCACATGGGTGACAGGGTATGGTTACTTTGTCACAATATTAAGACTGCTTGTCCTTCTGATAAATTAGACTATCGAAGGCTTGGACCATTTTCTATTTCTACACAAATCAATTCAGTTGCATATTATTTATATTTATTAGAACCAATGAAAATCCATCTAATATTTCATGTGTCTCTTCTTGAACCATACAAGACATTGGAAATACTAAGAAGAAGACAAGCTCCACCTCCTCCTATAGAAGTAGGACAATAATAAAGAGTTCCAAGTAGAAGAAGTCCTAGATTCAAGGCGACACCAAAATAAATTGGAATAACTTGTCCATTGGCACAGATATGATATTACTAAACGCATATGAGAGCCAATAAAGAATCTTGCAAATGCAGCAAAGGCAGTAGAGGCTTTTTATTGAAGACATCCATCAAAATCAAGACAAAAACCTTCTTTATAAAAGAAACAAGATCTAAGCAAGATAACATTCTACTTTCAATCCTTGTTTGTAGCTTCTTTGTAGTTATAACGCTGAGGAGATAGAAAACCAACAGCTGGCGGATTTGACTCAAGAGCCTTCATTTATTGACCTGTCGGATGAGACATTATAATTGTCATAACCTTCAAGAGAATGCAATTGAGATGAAGTTCCTCAAGAACGACATGTTCTTCCTGAAATAGATGGCAAGATACAACGCATTTGGTATCATGACCTTGGAAGAGACTCCCGATGTTGGTGATTTTACTAGAAGTAGGAATAACTCTTGACGGTGTTCCAAATATTTTATTTGAAGGAAGTTATGAAGGCCTCAACAACGATCAAATAACTAGGTGGTCTTCTTGCCCTAGTATGGAACACTATCGATGTTTGAGAGGCCCTATCAATCATCTTTAAAGAGAACAAAGATCAGAGTATGTGGCAAAGATAATTTGTCGCATCTTAGACTTCTTTGACATGTGATCACTGCTCCTTGTGCAACTCGTCCCTAGAAGGGGGAGTAATGTGGCAAACATATATTTACTCTAATTATTACCTAGATAATATGAATAGATAGAAGTAGATAAAAATAGATTAATTTCATAATATCTTCTAAAAAAGCTTCTTAGAAACTTTATAGATGTTGTTTTGACTTTACATGTGTTTATATTTGATTAATAGGTTAGAAACTTGGTCGACAAGTTAATCACAAGTCATACATGTTGGTAGCTTGTGGAACAAGCTAACTATGTAGCGCCTATATAGAAAACTTGCCTTGCAAGTTAAGATACGTGTTGTGCAAAGTCAATGCGTTTTTGGAGGTCCTATAGAATGTTGTCACATAGCTCCTAGGTAGGTAATATATATAGAGGCAAGACTATAGCCTTCTTCACTCTTGTCAACTCCTTTCTTGCTTCTAGTCTAGTTTCAAGGGTCTTTAGTTTTCTTATCTTTTGGCAATAGCCACTCCATTTTTTTTCTTAATATACATATTTAGTTATTTCTATTTTGTCATCTTTCTTTGAGAAAAGTCTCACTTGTTTATTTGTTTTTATCAAGTTCTTGTCCTTGACACCTATAAACATGTTTAAAGGTGAAAATGCATCTATGAAGCTTTTAGAAAGTTATTTTTATAAGATATTATCAAATTAATCTATTTTTATCTACTTCTATCTATTCATATTACCTAGATAACTATTTGAGTAAATTTGTCTATAATAGTGCTTTCATTTGTGATAATATCAAGGTTCATGTTTATATTAGTTTAATACAATAATTTATTTGAAGTAAAAATCAGAGTTCTTGTAAAAGAATCAACATGATAAAAAAAAAAAAAAAAAAAAAAAAAAATCTTCTCAATTTTCTTTATATAAGAATATATGTCACATGAAAAGACCTTCTATCCTAAACTTATTAGGATGACATTGTATGAATAAGAAAGTTTAAAAGAGAATTTATCTCCAAAAAGTACTCATAATTTAATCCTTATTTAGGAAATTAGAGCCACTCTAATGTCTCTTAGTCCAATATTTTTGATAGTTTGAATTAAAGCAAGCATTGGCAACATGAAACTCCTTTACTGGTCAGCTGTAAAATTTTGGAGGCATCAAGGAAGAAGCAATGGATTCAAAAAGCAAAAGGCAACTTCAAGATGAGAAAAGGATCAAGAATATGGGAAATGTTGTTGGCACATCTTTCATTCATCCAGCAATACTCCATTTTCGTACATATCTTTCATCCATATCTCCCCCTTCTCCGTGCACAACTGTTAGACGACGTTGGCCAGACTCTGGAGCGTGTATTCCATTTTCACCAATTTGAAGCTTGGAATTGGAATTAGGGTTTGATGCTCGACAGGGATTGTAACCAATTTTGTGAGTGGCGTGAAGGACCCCCTGAATGCTTGCAGCGCACTGGAGATTTCGCAGATGGCTGCGTTTCACAGTTCAAGGTTACAGCCTCTCTCCGTCTCAAAGTCGCCAGTCTTTTGGAGTCGCAATTCGATTACTCTCGGGCCCGTGGTTGCGCGTCAGGATGCGTTTAGGGTGCTGCAGAAGGGCCTAGGAGCATCATGTGTTTATGTTTCACGGAGAGTGGCTGCGAGTAGTGATGGTTGTTGTAGTGGTAATACGATGAGGGAGGAAGTGGAGGAGGTTGTGGAGAAGGAGCAGGTGTACAGGAATGAGCTGCGTGCAGGGGAGAGGGCTCCTCTCGTCGTGGTGTCATTTTACAAGTTTGCTCATCTGCCGGATTACGAGGAGAAGCTAGCTCCATTGAAGGAGCTGTGCGAGACTCATGTAAGTTGTTTCGACATTTTGGCGGATTCCTTGTCTCTGGATTCAACGTGTTTAGTCATGGAACTATTGTGACCCTCTCCAACGATCCCTATGGTTTTGAGCCCTCTGAACGCGTCAGTAGTGGCAGCAGGGTAGCTGGTTTTTCATGCCAGCGGTGAGGCGCGGCTGATGGCCTAATGGTTTGCAGTTTGTGTCAGGAGGTATAATGTTGGCTGCTGAGGGAATAAATGGGAGTATTTCTGGAACACGGGAGGCAGTGGAGATAGTGATGTCTGCTATCCAGAGTGACGAGCGCTTGACTAATCTTCTACGAACTGAGGCTCCTGCAGGAGTGGATGATGATAAAATTCACAATGGTCACAGCCCCAAGTCTCCTCTTGGAGCAGGCGAAAATTCTCCAGCCAGATGGGATCACGTGCGTGTAAAGCTGAAAAAAGAGGTTCGCCCAAACATCACACATCTTGTTGTTGAATGCCGAGCATTTGACTTCACTTCACACGAAAATAAGTTAATCTTCGTATCTCGGCAAACTTGAATGTGATTATCTTGCAGACATGAAAGGCTGCCCTGATATTTACAGTGCACCAAATTAGTTCCTCAACTGCGACTTTTGTGGATGGAATCTTGTGTAGTTGTTTTACATTTGTTGTCTTTTGATGTTGGAATCTCGCACTCATTGATTTCTTAGATCCTATTTGTCGAATTGCAGTTGGTGTCGATGGGTGTGTCGGGACTGGATCCCGCGGACAAAGCGGGAGAATACGTGAACCCCAAGGACTGGAACAAACTCATAAGCGACCCTGACACAGTATGCAATGTGTTGTGAAATTCAGTATTGTAGAAGAGAAGGGACGTATGAATTATCATAAAGTATATAAAAATCTCTGCTGAACGCGCATGAGTTATCTCTGCAGTCACTACCACCTGTGAGACCAATTGTAGAAATGTGAGCAAGGAGGTCGACACGTAGTGTTTATTTCCCTCGGTTTCTTCGCATTAACCATATCATGTTTAACTTGAATCTAGAACACAGTACAAAAGTCTCATAATACATCTGAACTCCACTTCCAGGTAGTTGTTGATGTCAGAAACGACTACGAGTACCGTGTCGGGAGGTTCAAGCGAGCACTTGATCCACAACTAGATTCTTTCAGGGATTTCCCTGCGTGGGTCGAGAAAAATCTCGCAAATGGTGCTCAACCTTACATTTCAAGGGGACCTGACAGAGATGAGAACACACGCACGCGAGATGAAGAAAATGCCCTGACTTCTTGCGAAATGCTACCAAATCTTGAAAGTCCGCGGCGAATTGCTATGTACTGCACAGGCGGCATTCGGTGTGAGAAGGCAACTTCATATCTGCTGAACCAGGGATTTGATGAGGTACGCACACTACACAAATTACCACGCCCATCAGCGGAATATACGAACCTTTCAAAACATTGCCGAAGACCTCTGAAAGAATACTTCTACAAACTATTGTTGCTCCTTGGATGGGTTACATGGGACTGATTATATTCTTCTGCAAGCTAACAGAAACAACATGATTTCTCTAGGGATTGAGCATCAATATGTGGGTTTCATTCATCGTCTCTGTAGGTGTATCAATTGGAAGGCGGTATCCTCAAATATCTCGAAGAGATACCTGCATCTGAGAGCCTCTGGAAGGGTGAGTGCTTTGTATTTGACAAACGAGTGGCTGTGGGACATGGACTGAAGCAAGGATCTTATAGATTATGCTATTCCTGCAAGAAGCCTGTTAACTCAGTAGACATGGAGTCTCCACTTTGGGAAGAAGGCGTTACGTGCCCCTACTGTTATCATCACAAGTCTGAAGCTGACAAAAGTAAGGCTAGAAATCGACATCAACAATTCTTACATTGGGGAGCAATTGGTGGTCCAGACAGGGGGCGAAAAAAGCATGTCGTGAAAAACAGTCACCTTAGAGATGAAAAGTATCCTGAAAGGCCATATTACTTCACCCTCAAATCAACTCAAGGAAGATGACCTAAATATCACTTGCAAAATAGATAGGGTATGGTTGCAAGTTATGAATTGATTTTTCAGGGTGGCATTAGCAGTGAAAGTAACTCCAAAGCTTCTTTATACGTATTTCTTGGATTAAAGACGACTGTCCTGTGAGTGTCTGAAGTGTAGTTGAACAATCTGCTGAACAATATGCACATATAGCAACTTTCAAAGTTAATGTTCTTCTGCAGTACCTGCAAAGGGAATATTAGGGGGAGGTTCTGAGCACGAAATCAAAAAGATGAATGGGAATTTTAAGTTGAATTGGAGATGTGATTATGAATTACACGTGGACATACAACTTTTCTTGCTCATCAACCAACTATTTAGGTTCACTAATTGGCATGTCCCAGTTTCTACAAAATCTATGTGATTTGATCAAAGGTTGATTTTTCTGAAAATTTGTTTTTGCTCGTTTCTGGTGTAGGTTTAGTGCTTGGGATCATTTTATACTTCATTTACATTCATGTCTACGAGGGTAAAGATGAAGGATATTAGTGGAATCTGACACTTTCGTTCACAAAGCAATGACATTGTTTGAAACCAATCTTTCATAATAAGTGAGTTATGAAAGTACTTGTAAATGACCATGAAGCTTAGTATGCTTTGTTTCCCATAGTGATGCTAATACATGTTGCTGTGCGACCACACATAGTTTAAAGGAAATTACAAATGACACATAAATAATGTGGTCCTCACACATGGAAGCTGCACATGTTAGAAAGTTGTGCACCTATAAACAATTCGGTTCAATACAATTTTTTGATTCCCCAATAATATTCAAAAGCTTTAGCAGAATTCCAATTGAACCATCTATTGTATTCAGTCCATTGTAGGAGTATGAAAGTAAGAACTTAATGCTGCAACTTGTTTTGACATAACCATTTAAATAAAAATAAATAAAAATAAAAACTCAAGTTTCCCATATATTACTTTACGAGAAGGCTGGGTGGTATTCTATCTTCCAAGAGGTTTCAGAGCGAGGTGGGTGAGCTTGGGAGCGTGAGACTTGGCACGGAGGGAACGGAACGAGAACGGGGTGGGAACTTCGTCGTCTTCGTTATCCAGTCTGTGGCCCTCACAGCGTCGCTCGCAGACTTCTTCGCCATCGTCGCAGGCCTCAGAGCACCAGATTCCGCCATAGCCACCACCTTCCTTCATCGTCACGGATCAGTCATTGAGTCAGTCAGTCAGCGAGGAAGCAACTAACTAAGCAAGTAAGCCCAAAGACGAGAGGGACTACTGAAGCGAAGGAAGGGCAGTGGTGGCCATGGCCGCGATATCGTCGCTTCACTCTCTCCCATGCGCGCGTACTCCATCGCTCGCCGCCTACTCATCGTCACGTCAGGTGTGTGTGTGTGTGTGTGCTTGCTTGCTCAATTCAGTAATGGCCAGTTTGATTTTCTGTGTTCATGATCCTGCTGCTTGTTTTCTTTTCTTTTCTTTTCTTTGTTTTTTCTTCTTCTAATAAGGCCTTTTGGCGCATGTCTCCATCTCCCGTAGAGCCGAATTATGACAATTTGGATTCTCTACCATTCGCTTGCTTATGCGAATGAAAATTCGTGTATTGTAAATGGATTTCGTTGCTTGTTTTTGTCCAGTAGCTTCATGCCAGGGAGTGCTTCGATTCTCAATCCTCGAGTTCCAATCAATCTAACTCGAGTTCACACTGGATTCTAATTATGAGCTTTCCGGCTCGATTTAGATGAGCAGGATACAATTTATGAGTGAAACTTGTAATTTTTTGATTGCTGTCAAGCAGGCAGTTTATGTTGATTTACTAAAATGATGATGGATTATAACTCTCGCATCGGACATGTCAATCTCTAATCAATTTTGAATAGCATTTCTAGAATGGTCAAAAATCGAACAGCAGCATCACGACATTTACAACTTTGGCGAAATCAAAGTGCAGTTAGTTCACGACTTTGAGTATTCAATGGAAGTTGAATCGGTCTTTGCAAAATTCAAGGTTGTTTTTTGAATTGCATGTCTTCAGCAATTTTTTAATAAGAATAATACATGATATTTTCGTGGTTGAGTTTTTGGCAGACATGGCATCTGTCTCCTGGACAACCATTCATAAAAAAGCAAAGAAAAGGAGAAATGTTCATTAGAGCCAGTGCAATAAATGAGGACTCTTCTAGAACATCAGGTAACCTCGGTGTCCTCGAATCAGTGAAGTCAGTTTATTTAACGAACTAGTTCATTTGACGCTGACTTTGGAATACTGTTGAGCATGGAAGCCCGTTTACTTTTTCATTCTCACTTGGATGCTAGCAGTTTTCCATGTCTGCGTATCGCTGCTTTAATTAATGTAATATTTACCAGTGTGTGTAGAAACGTAAACTATTTAGGTCTCATATAGCTGTGTAGTAATTTTCATATCAGATCCTGAATTGTGTAGTTATGGTGCAGACGAGACCCTGGAGCCTGCGAGTTGGTCTAAAACATCACGTCGACAGATAGTATCGTTTCCAGCAGCCAGCATCTGCGCCTACCTCTTCTCAACGTTGGCATACGAAAGGAAGGCTGTGGGATCAGATTACGCCGACAGTATGTAATTACACGGATACTTTCTCATCGCTTTGGATATCTGCTCCTTAAGCTTCATGCCTTGCTCCATTTTGAGATTTACGTTTGTGCTTGTTTCAATATATATATATATATCTATATATATATCATGTTTCCTATATAATTGGTGCTGTAAGATAAAGATTAATTGCTAGTCTGAAATCTACGTAATCATGGTTTTGTTATTCTCAATTTGAGATGATAGAGTAAAAGTATTACAATGTTCAATTTTTCTTGTGAGTCCGGTTCAACACATTTGAATATTCAAGAGCGTTATGGTCAAGGTTATGGAAGGAAAACATATCAATAGTGCATTAGGATGTCGTATCAAGAATTTTTTTCATAATTTGCAGTGCCAGCTTTACGGGGAAAGGATTACGGAAAAACGAAAATGAAGTATCCTGACTACATAGAAACTGAATCCGGTCTGCAGTACAAGGTACATTACTTTTTTTTTTCAGTATTTCACTTCAGGACAGTGGCTCATAGGTGTTCAAATTACCTTTGTGCTTCTGACTGTTGGAAATCCTTTTTGAGGAAGTCCTTCGTTGCTTTTAAACCAATACCCTGATGGCAGCGAGATGAAATCAATACCACCTTCTCTAATTGTTTGCGTTGATTTTCAGGACCTACGAATAGGAACTGGTTCAGCTCCGAACGTTGGGAATCTGGTGGTGGTAAGTCAGAAGGATATCTTAGTATTATTATTTTTGTAATTTTCTTTTGTTGCTTTTGATTTCGGGTTCTTTAGAGCTTTCTTTACTTAGAGAGGAGTTGTTTTGATTTTGTAGCTCATGTTTGTGTCTTGAATATATTCTCAAGTCTCTTGAAATATTTGAAAAGAATTACTGCAATGAGAATTATTTTGTGGACTGGTGCGCAGGTGGACTGGGATGGTTACACCATCGGGTACTACGGTCGAATCTTTGAGGCTCGAAACAAAGCAAAAGGTGGTTCCTTTGAGGTATCAAACTTTTAAATTTAAGAAATTTTAGTGAAAGAAACAATAATGCATTTGGCTTTCAGTAGAGCATTTTTTGCAGTAAATATGTAGAGGAATAGTGCGTGGTGAATATAAACCGTAAAATTTTCTAGCGTGACATCTCTTCTCATCAGATACATTCAGACACCCACACCATTCACTGCTCTATACACTCCGGTTTGATCTGAAGCATGTGCAAGTCAAATGAATATTTTTGTAGTTTAGCTACCAACCTCTAGTCATCTTTTAAAGCACAGTTGGTTTCTGCTGGGATGTGTAGGGGGATGAGAAGAATTTTTTTAGATTCAAATTGGGAAATTCGGAGGTGAGGTTCTCAACTGATCCTTGTCATTTAAAGCCAATTTCTCAGAAAAAGACGGTAGTAATAGTTTAGTACAATGGATGTAGATTTGTGATTATCACTTTTATATAGAGTCTTTAAACATTGTGAATGGGACTCAGTTTTTGAGCGTGATAAAAATATTGGGGGAGTATTTTTGTGTTACAGTTGATCTCTAGCACATTTCTCACATGTAAGAACACATTTGCGTGCAATAAATCTGAAGTTGCAAGTTTCTTGTGTAGGTCATACCTGCTTTTGACGAGGCCGTCGCAACAATGAAAGTTGGTGGCATACGCAGGTACAGATAGATCTTACAGTTTAATACTCATCTGGTTCTTCTAAGCTTCCTATGTTCTTTCTGGAAGAAGACATGCAGATTCTTATAGATGCATATCAACATAGTGTTTATCCTGTCATTACTTTATTTCTCAAATGTGATTTTCTTCTTTTGCCTGATTTTCCAAACCGACCCGGACCGCAGGTTAATTGTGCCTCCTGAGCTTGGTTATCCCAACAATGATTACAACCAGAAAGGTCCTCGCCCAACCACATTCTCGGTGAGCTTCTGTTACTTCCGCCATTATTTTTTTTTAATTAATTTATTTATATCTTTTATAAACCAGTATTTCCAGATTATATTTATGTAAGCTTTTCTATATTGCTTGCACCCGACTTTGAGAACTGTTTGCTGCTTGTACCTATGCAGGGTCAGAGAGCCTTGGACTTCGTATTGCGCAATCAGGGACTGATTGACAAAACTTTGCTATTCGACATCGAGCTGATTAAAGTGGTTAACTGAGACTGGAGACACCCATCCAGATACACTTGCTTCCAAGGCAATGAGTGTACTTCCTTACCGTCCCTGCAAAAGCGATGCGGGTTCCATGAATAGTCAATGCAGAACTGTGGTGTGATGGGCTCTTCGTCTTCTGCAATCTGGCCAGAACATGGAGAATGAAGTCATTAGTTTTCACTCTATAAACTCAACCCACAAGGCTATGGAAGCAACACAACATGGAGAGAACCACTTCCATGTTGTCACAAACTTCTCCTGGGACCCTCCTTTCTGTACCCAATGGAGGAATCCTTGCACCTCCCTCAACCTCGAATTTTGTATGGCGCAATAGCTTCTATCCATTTCTCCACTTCCACCATCATTTTTTTAATATATATTTTCCTAACAATATTTAATGGCTTCTTAAAGTTGAGAAAACAAATTTGCTTTTGATCTACAAACCATGATGCATTCCCCGTGATCCATGACTCATGTTCTATGTGGCAAGTAATGAGAGGCTTGATGGGGTACGTTCAGGGCCTGGCTTTAAGGAGTCCCAATTGCTTTATTGATGACAATAGTGAATTCTATATTTTTATTGATATCAAGTTGGTGGTGAAATGTGGCTCTAAATTTGTTGTAGCTTATGACGTGTTTCAAAAACTATGCAACAGTATATTAACAATAATAAATTCAAGTACGCTTTTATGTTTTTTGTTTCAAAATTTGTGGTCAAAATATTACACATAAAAATATGTTTATGGGTTTATAAAAATTCTTACATATTTGTATTGTGTACGGTTGAACACATTTATGTTTGTTTGTTTTTTGTTTTCAGTTCATTTGTTTTATTGTCTTTATTAAATTTTTCTTTAAATCTCAAACTGTTGGGTTTTCAAAAGTCATAAAATCAATCAATGAAAGTAAAAACAATTTTTTTCATATTGGTTTGATTTTGATACAACACAAATGATGTACGTAATGAACCAAAATCATGTTAATGTAATATTTCTACCTGGACTAAAATTTAATACAAGGCTGGTATTATTGTTGTAATTCATTTAACTGATAGTTGTATAAATAATGTTTATTTAAAAAAAAAAAAAAATCAAATCAATTTCAGAATATTCACCTCGTAATAAAGATAGATATCAAGTTATATATATATATATATATATATAAAAGCTTGGGTATAAGCCAAAGAGACAAAAAACCTTCTCATTGGCCAAACATGGGAATGAAGGAACATGAAAACCATGAAACATGAGTGGATGACAGTGCCAGAGATTGCATTGCCCAACGACATGGATTTTTGCTAGTATATGTATATATAAACATATACACATGTAATAAAAATATAAAGATAAATAATTTAAACATATTATGTAAATGGATAGATTTAATAATTTGATTTTGATACAAACTTGATTTGACTATATAAAATAGACTAATATGTAAACAATAATTTTGATAGGAGTGTAGAAATTAGAAAAACAGATTGATTTACAAACTTTTGAGTCATAAAATTTAATTATTATAAAATAAAATCAGGAATTTTTTTATAATAGATTATTACTTTTAAAAAAAAAATATCAAATAGTTAAAATTAAAAGGTCCATCTAATATGGAGAGAGATTAAAAAATAAAATAATAAAAAAAAAAAAAAACAAAAAAAAAAAAGATCAAAGATCTTTAATTTGCATAAAGTTTTTGAAACTATTATAGATGTTTAAAAAAAAGACTACATATATGATATTTATATTAATAATAATACATTAATAATTATTAAAAAATTGAGAATATGAAAAATTAATTTTTGGTTACATTAAAATATACTATTTTTAGGGGAATGTTAAATAAACCCATACTTTTAGTAAATAGATCCATTCTTGATGAAGAATATGGTAATCATGATGAATATGTTTGATTTTTATTGGTTGCAGGTCTAATAGTGGGAAAATAATCTAAAGTTCATTATTTTTTTTCATAATGGTTAGGATGGGTGAATCAATTTAGTAAAAACTTGGGTCTATTTAACATTCCCTTATTATTAATGTACCAATATTCTATTCAAATTAGTAATAACTTATCAAACTATACATACAAAATAATTATAATTTTTTTTATGAATTCAAAAAAAACCTATTTTTATTGTTAATATTTTGATATTCATGCACAATTTTTTCAAAATATGATATTTTTTTAAATAAAATATAAAAAATACATAGATCATAGATATTATTTTTAATTGATAGTGTATTTAATTAATAGTGGTCTGAAAAAAAAATTAAAAATAAAAAACAAAAACAAAAAAAGGGCTACATTTCATCCTTGGTGAATACACAATACAAAATTACAAGCAGAATTTTCATAAACCAACAAAAAATATTAAAATACAAATAAACAAATAAATCTCACATATAATCATCCAATACAAAGGTTGTTACAATTTGTGGTAATGTGGCTTTTCATCAATGTGTTAAGGGTAACATCTTCCTATACAGTGAAAGATAAAACACCTAGATACTAAAGTTGTTCCCCAAGCCAACTTATACTCCAATAACCATCATCGCCGTGTGGTAATCAAATGGGTTTAAGGTTCATTAAGGCTGGAGGGCAGAGATCAGCTTCTTCTTTTTTCCATAATTGTAGCATAATCAAAACATAAACATCACATCAAAGTGTGGCTTCGTCAAGCAAGCAAATATGCTAGTTTGTTTTTCTGGACAGGGGACCACCAGGTGACAACACATCTTTGCTCTGTTAATGTTATGCAAATGTGGGGTCACTCACTGTGTGCTTGCAGAATCATAACCGATCGACAAACTGATAAATCAATCAACCAAAAGAAATAGAATATGCTGCAGCAGCAGCAGGCAATGTGGTAATACTACTCCAGCAGTGCAGTGCACTGGCAGTGCGTTGTTGCATCACATTTGTGTCTATCGACCGGTGCCGATTTGCTGCGTCGCTTTCAATCATGTGACGCAACGCTTACGCATGCAGAGCGATCGATTCATGGAGCAGCAGATCCTGGGTCGCTGAAAATCTGCGATCCGGAAGCTTGATCTGTCCAGTATTGCCCTGTGAAGTTGCATATTCTGGCAGCCCCACATGGATCCGCCTACAAACTTTAAGAGCAGGTTTGGGGATACTGCGTGGTTTAAGTAAGAAAAACAAAATAACAAAACAAAAACGACGTTTGTGGAGTTGGAACATTGTACAGTATCAACTGTTTGTTTGTTTGTTTGTTTTTTTTTCACTTCTGGGGGCTTGAATACTGATTCCCAGCATGTTTCTAGCGCCAATTGCAAACGTCGTCATCTCTTTGAACAGCCCCGGAGGATGTGCCTCGTGGATTGATGTCGAAAATCTGACACCGTTCAATGGTGGGCTGGTCATCCGGTCTCCACAGGGATCCACAGTGTTAACTGCTTTTTCATCGATTTCAGGCCCATCCGGTCTTTTACGATCCGAATGTTTGAAGCTGCGGAATTGTTACCATCTGTATCTATTTTGTTATATAAAGAGAGATACGGAAGTGACTTTATATGGGCCGCGATGTAGATCCAAATTTTTAATGTCTGGAACCTACGACGATATGTTTTAGAGGTCCGGTCCAAACACTCACTGTAAGAACAAATCAATGGAACGGATATCATCACATCATCACTTAAGTTCAGTCTCAAATGCGACAAACAAAACTTATAGGTTACCAAAGCTAATTGTTTCGGTTTCCCTGTGGATCTAGTAAAAGCAAGGGTGGTTCCAAGAGTAAAACCAAGCATTGAACCATGTGGTATCATCATCAATCATCAGCACTGAAAGGGTTTATTTGCAGTCTCCATGTCGGCCATCTCAGAGCCTCATTGCGATGTTCTTCACAAGTGAAGGAAAAAACCAAATTGAGCTGAAGTAATGAGCTGTTGAACCAGTCAAGCCCCCAGTCAAGGACCAGGTTGCGAACTTACCAATATGAGTAAATCCATCCAGGCAAATTCGTGGGAGCAATTTGCGAAGGAAGGAAGCTAGGAGCGCAAAATCCCCCCGCTTACTCTCCGTTTCAGTTACCAGGCATCTTCTTCCATCGAGACCCACGGATTTAAATAACAGCCAAAAGCAGCACCAAAGCACTGTATCTCAGGACCCGTCAAGCGTCGAAGAACGTCGTCACGCGGCGGCTCGAGTTGTCTCTGGCCGACAGGCGCTGCTTTGCGCCGTCGATGCATACCCTTGAACCCATCGTAACCGTCAGGTGAAGACGCCAAGCCTCCTCGAACACTCCGGAAGTCGCCCCGCTACAAGAACAATATGCTCTCGATGCTCACTTGGTGACCGTCGATCGGGAGATTCCAGCACATTTTCCCGTCGACGGAAGTGCATGTGGCGACCGGTTTACTTACCAAATAATTTTTCATTTGAAGTTACAGATAAGGGGCTGGCCCATTAGAAGCGGAGGAAGATTTTTGCTCCTCCAGCAAGTTTTGCTGGCCATACTTTTTCCAGGCCCTAGCATTGCATTGAAAACTTTCTAATTCTGAAATTACTCGCGAAGCTTTGGTTAAAGGTCATGGGACTGCATCGTGCAACCCAGTTCGACCAGATTGCTCGAGGACTCTACCGTCGGACCCAGATAGAGGTGGCAGGTCTCGTCGAGGAGCACAAGATTTCATGAATCCAAAGATCGTGGAGGCATCCTAGTTTTGCCGGTTTTATAAATTGCCGCGTCGAGGACATTCCCCTACGATGGATGGATCGGTTATTTTTCGTTTCCACCAAAGAAAATGATGAGGCTCTATTTTTACAATGCGGATTATGTGCGTGGTTCAGGAGGAGGGTGGGTCTTGCTCTCATTTCCCTAACAGGAAATTAGGAAAGGAGCTCGACTGTGCTGCTGTCTTGGCATCTTGCTATGTGGCCAGCCAGCCAGCTTCGGCACCGCGGTGGCAAGTCAGTCTTGTGGAGGTGTGATTCATCCAGCGTCGGAAAAAATGAATATCGAGTTACCAAGTGGGCTGTTTTAGATGGTACCGCAATTAAGTGTGTGTGCAGACACGATGCCCACCCGCCACATCCACCGGGGGCTCCTCTTCTTCTACAGGAATTCGAGGCTGTCTTCTTCTACTAGTAAATTGTAGAAACAAAGATGATAATATCATGATTTGGAATCCCGTCTCATCAGGTGGATCTCACTCTGCAAGCAAATTACGTGGAAGAATATCTGAATAGGTTTCCCTGCTAGTTTAAAGATTCCACATGAGCAATCATTCCTGCAAAATTCTAGTCAATCTGCGCTCCCCCTGGGCAGGAAAGCACTAAGTTATTGGAGGTAACTCTAGATGTGCGGGAAGATTTGGCAAATTCACAGCAACCGGACTACAGGAACTGTTCAATGGGTCCAAGGGCACTGCACAACGCTATCTTTCAGGATGCCGGGGATAGTTGGCGCGGGCAAATGGAGCCGTTAAACGTGTCAGATTAGTAGATGTAATTAGTACTGTGCACACACTCCCGTATGCGAAAGAGGTTTAGCTGGTTTCAACGTGAAAGCCCTAGCGTGTGTGCCCGCTTCGACTTATTATAAGGAGCGCCTCATATCAAGACCGTTCCCTGCTGTGGAACAAATGTACTGCGCCAGAGTGGAGGACAGTTGCAGAGTGTTCACTGTCAGGCTGGCCTCGAAGCTACTCCGTTCCCATCGGCGCTCTCCACAGGAATAGGTGTCTAGGTAAACATTTTTTGTGTGTCGGTCGCCTGCTCGTGTGGAAGGGAGTTCGGTACATACTCAGCGTCGTAATCGACACATGAGAGCGACCGAGATGCAGCTTTTGTCTGAACTAGGGGGGCATGCCCAACTAGTCACGAATCTAGACATTACAATGTGAGGGTCTGAGCTTGTTTGGGCAGCTTGCTTGGAGTATTGAGGAGATGTAAAATGCGGGGAGGTTTGATAGGGATGTGAATCTGTGATTGCGTAAGATCGTTCCCAGTTGCAGAGAATTTGGAAACATGGCGACTCCCGTGGTACAGTCGGCGTACAACCAGACGGGCGGAGTTTCGCCTGATTGGTTGAACAAGGGCGACAACGCATGGCAACTGACGGCGTCGACACTGGTGGGGCTGCAATCCATGCCCGGCTTGGTGATCCTCTACGGGAGCATCGTGAAAAAGAAGTGGGCAGTGAACTCGGCCTTCATGGCGCTATACGCGTTCGCTGCGACGCTTCTGTGTTGGGTGACATGGGCTTACAAGATGTCTTTCGGCGAGCAGCTGCTGCCCATCTGGGGAAAGGCGGGCACAACACTGGGCTACACCTTCATGCTCGACCAAGCACGTCTGCCGTCCACGATCCACTACTACAAGAATAATACAATTGAGATGCCTGCTTCGGAGGGGTTTTATGGCATGGCTGACATGGTGCTGTACCAGTTCTTCTTCGCTGCGATCACGCTCGTTCTGCTTGCGGGCTCAGTGCTTGGGCGGATGAGCTTCCGCGCTTGGATGCTGTTTTGCCCCTTGTGGCTGACGTTTTCTTACACTGTGGGGGCGTTCAGTGTGTGGGGTGGGGGCTTTCTGTGGCAGTGGGGGGTGATCGACTACGCAGGGGGTTATGTCATCCATGTCTCCTCTGGCGTTGCAGGCTTCGTTGCAGCGTATTGGGTATGTTGTCACTTACGGAGGTCTGTGCTTCTTGCTAGTTTGTCTGTAGAGATGTTCTTGTAATGTTTGAGCCGAAGGAATCCGGGGTTTCTAAGGCTATAAATTGATTTTGTCGTTGTGATTCTGTGTCGTTGCAGGTAGGGCCGCGGCTGGCGAAGGATCGTGAACGATTTCCACCGAATAACGTGCTTCTCATGCTTACGGGCGCCGGGCTACTCTGGATGGGATGGTCAGGTTTCAACGGGGGTGCGCCGTTCAGCGCCAATCTAATCTCAGGCTTGGCCGTGCTCAACACGCACATCTGCGCCGCGACCAGCCTCTTGACGTGGACTACCCTGGACGTCATCGTCTTCGGGAAGCCATCAGTCATCGGCGCTGTGCAAGGCATGATGACGGGGCTTGTGATGATTACCCCCGCTGCTGGTAAGGTCCAGAGGGAGACATTTTCCATCTCATTGTGGGGACCTTAATATTTATGCATTTTCCGAACCAAACAGATCGAATGGGGTAGTTCTGCTGCACAACTTAATAATGTGATGCTGCTTGAATTTGGATTCTGCGGGAATCTGTCCCGTGTGTTGAGAGGTGTGTGTAAATTGTCGGTGCAGGTTTTGTCCCTGGGTGGGCGGCGCTTGTGATGGGAATTCTGGCAGGAAGCATTCCATGGTGGACGATGATGTGTCTGCACAAGCGCTGGTCGCTGCTGCAGAGGGTGGACGACACGCTTGGGGTTTTCCACACACATGCTGTGGCGGGATGCTTAGGCGGGCTATGCGTGGGACTATTTGCAGAGCCCCGTCTGTGCGAGTACATGAATCACGCGGTGACCAATTCCAACGGGCTGTTCTATGGCGGTGATGGCGGGATGCAAGTGCTAAAGCAGGTCGTTGGCGCGGCATTCATCATAGGCTGGAATATCGTGGTGACCACCTTGATTATGTTTGCCATCCGCTTCGTCATGCCCCTGCGCATGTCGGAGGAGCACTTGCTTGTAGGCGACGACGCCGAGCACGGCGAAGAAGCCTATGCGCTCTGGGGCGACGGTGAGAAATTCGACGTCACTCGACACATCCACAGTGATCTCGAAATGGAGCAGAGTCGCTTTGGTGTTCGACAGTCTCAGACGTTTGCTCCCAACACCATACTGCATATCTAAGGATTACTCGCGTCCACAGCGAGCGGTATCATTTCGGGCTGCAAAATCTCCGCCATACCTCTTCATCACATCATAGCATCATCTCTCGCTGTTGGGTGTAACTCATAATTCTGTCATAGCCTCATGACCAGCAAACTATTGATGGACCTCTGAACTTAAGGGCCAACATAATCATTCCGGTGTGCACGCAGCACAACCTCATCGTCAATGGTGATCGGTAGAAGCATTGGCCATCTATTATTCACCACTTCGTTGATGGCACTGGATTAAGATCGTGCACAACGATTACATCACTAAGCACCACGATCATGAACACTTCGTGGCGCCAAGTGTAATTCTAATTTGTAGATCACGTGTTTCATTAACTTAGATATGTACCCGAAGTGCTCACCGAAACAAGAGCCAGGATTTAGGGTTTAGCGTGGACATTCAACATGTCACAGACTGTAGATAAGCTGGAAATGGTATCCCGCCCATTGGCATCAGCACAGAATTCTAGAGTTCGCAGCGCAATGTCTAGACGATGGTCACCTGACTGATTGGCCACGTTCACGGAGCAGTAAAGCAAGTTACTGTGCGAGTACTTTAGAGCTTGTGAGTTGTAGGCCGCAAGCAAATAGGGTGATGTTCAAGGCTCACTCGGAAACTTTCCAGTGATGTTTAGATCACATTCATGTTACGTGTACAATGTTAACTTTCCTGCAATGAATCCACACTCAAAAGTACCGTAAATGTCGAGAGATAGTTATGGCCTGGAATACGCTCAGCATTTGAAAATCTCTTCATGCTGAGCGTTGCAAACTGATGGAAAACGCTACCTAGGCATCGGCGTCGTTACCAGTCAGGGTTGTGAAGTTTGTGCTATGCAATCCTTGAGAACTCTGTGCCTGCGCAAAAATTTATCTCCATCTCAAAGATGGTGCTCAAGTGTTCTTCGCGCTTGTAGGATGTTCATTTTCAAATTCTACGACTCACCGTCGTGTATCTTTCCGAAATATGTGTTCAGCTTAGAAACACACGTTTAAACTAAAACCGTACTGTATGCGTGGTTGTAATTTCTGCATGATTACTTGACTTCCATGTAACAAAGAGTGTAGATTTGTAGGATAAGAATCTATTCATTAATTCAACATTCAAATATTGAATAATCATGAAATTTAATTTCAACAACTGAATTGTGTTCCTTACAACGAGTTATGAAATCGGATTCTAATAATGCGTTTTGGTCTTGTAACTTTTCTTGTCTTTCTGTTTGAAGAAAATTTTGAGATATTCATCTCTCGCAACCACTGCCATTAAAGACGTCATTTTTGTGCAGCATATTCAACTACTGAATATTGACCATATGAATTGCTTCACTGCTTTCAATCTAAACCTTCGTTTGAGACTCTGTGGAAACGATGCAAATTCAAGATAGAGTGGATGATGGCATCACCGAGTACTTGGGCAACGCCTAGGAACAGCTCAGAAGCAGTAAGAGAAATCAGAGTCGCGACGCGCGGGATCGATGACGCCCAAGAGCTCCAAAGCAGCGTCATGTTGAAATGAAGCCACATCTATAACTCCATCGACGTTTTTCAGTCTAGAATTTGCAGAGAGAGAGAGAGAGCAGTCGAACGATCACATTCTCTGAAACAATCACTGCCTCGTCGAAGCATGGTGAGATCTGTAACTGTAACTGTAACTACACAACATGGACCTGATCCTGATCGATTTGTTCCACCGTAGTCTCTACCACCAGGTCTCAAACTCATCGTGGTGATGCTGAAATATTGGATTTCGTAGCTGAGTGACGGTGTTTCTGAAGCTGGTTGGACTATCACTATCTAAAGCCGACGCAAATCGGAGCATGATGAGTCAGTCAGTTGATGGCGCAATCTTCCATTTGAGAATGCTAGTTTTGGTGCCGAACATGCTTGATTCCTCTAGATCGCAGCAAATCGACCTTGATGATGATGTGTTTGGATCTTCCAAATAAATAGCACCAAATCGATCTAGATGTGTCGAAATGTGTCTAGATGTGTCTTGATTTTCTGAAGAAAAGCAGCAAATGGATGTCGATGTGTTAGGATCTTCTAAACAAAATAGCACCAACCACATCTAGATGTTCCTGGATTTTTATCTAATCATCAAGTTGCATCCTAACATGAAAAAAATTTAAAAACGCCTCAATACTAAATAGTTTCACTTATAAATATTAAAATAATAATAATAATAATAATAATAATAATACTTTTTATAAATAAATATCAACATAAACTTCTAACCAAAATATTAATATATTTTTTAAATTTTTTGTTTATATAAAAATAAGATATACTCAATGTCTTAATAAAGTAAAAACAAAGTACAAAAAGTCATCTTAACTATTACTATCTAAGCAAGTAGAATTAAGAGTAATATGTGATGGGACTACTATTTCTTTGTGCTTAATTATAATTTTTAGTATTATCAAGTCTTATTGTGATACTTTGAGGTTCTAACTAATTAACTTATATATTCTAGAATCAATTAAGTCTTTTTCTATTTATTATTTATTTAATTAAAAAAAACTTACATCATTTTTAGGATATGTATTAAATTTTGTACTTTCTTTTTTTCTAGATATTAGCCTTCTTTAAAAAGAAGATTTATCACATGTATTATTATTGACCATGTTCTAATCACCTCTTGAAATATAAAACAATAGCTTATCTACAAAGTCAAGCGACATTTGATTTCTTTCTTAATATTGATTATAAGCATATATGTTTACAATACTAATAAAATCTTATAGGATATTGCTCAAGATAATCTTTAGAATTCTATTATCTATTATAGAGCTTATATTGTTGATTAAGTGTTTCAATATAGGAGAAATAAGAATATACATTCCACAAGCTCTAATACTATTTTGGTTATTTATATAACCATGAGTAGCTTTTAGAATAAAAATAAATTATATTTGATTAAAGTATATTATCCAATTCTTATGTTTTTAAATTACAAAATTTATATTTTTAGATTAAAATAATATTATACTTAAGAGTAATATTTTGATATAATTTTAGAATTTTAGCACCTTAAAAGGAATATTTAGTCAAAAAAAATTATAATAAATAACTTTTAGCTTCATAAAACAATAAAAAGGATAAGATCATACTATATCTTATTATTTAATAGTAGACATTTTTTAGATCTTATATATTTCTAATCTAGAAATAAGATTTTTTTTTCAATTACTTTTTAAAATACTCTATATTACCATTTTTTAAAAAATTCAAATACAATTTTGTTTAAATAAAAGAAGTGATTGATATAAAAGCTTATTTTTTGTATAGAGAGTGTCATTTTTTCTTAGCCTTATTGTAATGGAAAAGAAAAAATATTTTTTCTTCTCTATAGAAACTATATTCTTTACTTTTAATAATTATGGCAATATTTTTAGACATCTTTTTAATTTAAGAGCTTGTATCAATACTCTCTCATTTAGCAATGCAAATGTCAAGCTAGAATGAAGGAATGTTTAAAAAGAGGCACTTAGAAGGTGCTTTGATATCACCACTTCTAGAGGTTCTAAGCATGTTTGTATGCCTATGAAACCCACTCTTTAATTTTTATATTCTTCAAAGAAGATATCCAATCTTTAATGGTATCTATATAAACTTCAAAGTTCATTGGCTCTATATTTACTGAGAAGCTTTTAGCAACATAGGGCTTATCAAATATTCTAATCATAGATATCTTATTACAAAGAAAATAAATTATCAAAGTTAGTCAATTCTTCCTATTTTGTAAACTATTAGATATCTATTACTTCAAGATGATCATAAGCAACTTAAGTAATATAAGGTTCAATAGTTTTGGTAGAGAGTTGATTATGATTGATTCCTTGCTCGTGAATGGAGTCTTTACCAATTTGAATTTAAAAATAGTCTTATTAGACTCCATCAAAGAGCTTGGTATCTTGGTGATTTATTAATGGATTTTTAGATATTTGATATAAATAGAGATCTATAAATCCAAAGATTGTAAAGCAACTACTCATGGTTTCTAAACCTAAAAAAATATTGTTATGAAAGGACAAGCTATCATAATCATTGAGTTTCAAAAATTTGATAAGATATCTAATAATATTATAAATTTCATTCTCTTATAGATTTCTAACATTGTTTCTAGCATCACTATAGAATGGATAGAAATTGATTTTTGTAGGAGATTGATTAAAAATAGGTAAAATAGATTAATCATCCATTGAGCAGTCAATTTAGGAAATAGGATGGATGATTTAGTCAAGAGAAGTGATAAAGTAAGAAATGTTGATTGAAATCTCTCTTTTGGATATAAAATAGTTAGAATGGAAGTATAGTGGCCCAAACTGTGAGAGTCATGAGCCAAGGTATGTTTAGTACTATCCATATTGTTTTTATTTGTAAAAGAATTGAAGATTGGCATATCAATTTTAGAATATCAAAAGAAGAAATTAGTTTTAAAATCCAAGACAGTGAGAATTTTTAGTGTTTGGATTGTTAAATCAATATATACTGATTGTTTAGAGTATGCAGTAATTTACATATTATTATTATAATATGAAAGAAAAAAAGAGTGAATGAAAGAAGAAATTGGAAGAGATAGGATTACCGGTTTTAATATTTGATTGTATTGGAAGAGAATCAATAAAATGAAGGTTACAATGTAACATTCTATGGGTGTTTGTGATTATAAAAGAATGGATTTCAACTTGTCAGTTTCTTGTTAATTGAGTGAGCCTAATGTGTGAATCTCATACAAATTAGTCTTTTTCCGTGTTTGAATCCATCTATATGAGTTTATTTCAAGTAGTTAATTGCGGAAGAAGTAAAACAATAATCACATTTTTTGCCGTAGCCAAGAAATTGACAATAGTATCAAGCGTCAGGAATAAATTGTTGTAGGATGTGACTTAAGATTATATAAAGCAGATAATTTAATGGAGATAATTTGGAAGTAGAGCCAAATAAATAATTTCAGTTATATATGGAGAATGTTTCAAGCAGTAACTATGGATGATACAAGAGTATGATTAAAAAGAATAAGAACATCGCTTTGAAAAAAATAAGGCCATTAAGAGGAAGACAAGAAAGAGTATAAGCAAAAAATTTGTTGTGGGACAAGCAAGAATGGCATCATAAAAGGAAGTGTTAAGAGAATTGAATAAAGCCGTTGTTGTAAGCCTGTTTGCATATCTAAGAATACTCCACACTAGTAAGACCGTCAATATTTCAATATTATATACCATTGTAAAAGTTGCCTTAATTACTTGCAGTTAATTCTTACAATCGTCTAGTTTCTCCATTGAATCCAATAATTAAAAAATTGGGCATTCCATTGGATACTTTTTCAATAACAATTACAATCAAATCAAGTAAAACAAGTTCTTCAGACCAATATGGATTAATTATCAAAAAAAAAAAAAATTAGCGTGTTTCAAAATCCAACGTTCTTACCACCAATTCAACCTAAGAAATTTGTTGTAGATTTTAATAGTAAATTGAGGATGACTGGAAGTCCAGAAAGGCCAATTGGAAGAAACAATGTTCATTATAATAATGGATTAAGGAGAACTTTGAGACCATCAATGGCAACAGGTGGTTCAGCAGTGCTAATTACAGTTCTAATGGGAGCAGTGGGCGATCATATCACTAGTGTAGCTTTATTACTAACTTTTAGTGGATGGCTAGGTTTCGACCCAAATCAATATTTATTCCAATTTT